AGGTTTTGAAAAATGATAAGGACTAAATCAATTATATTAAACAGGTCATGCAAATCTTATAACAAAGACAAAATTTTGTAATAACTGACTTTGAAATTACTAACTTTGAACAGTATCTTTAATTTCTATTCTCTGTACAATTAATATCATCTATAAATAAATGATAAGGAATCTGTCTGTATAAATCTAAAATAAATGGGGAATGTGTCCATGGGACACAGATGATGCCCCCCCCGGTTGCATATCATATAAAGTTATAAAAGGACATAACTAAAGAACGGTAAAAGTGATGCTACCTAAAATTGTACTTGATCTGAGTTTTGTGGAAAGAAGTATTGTGTATAAGTTTCATAACATTTGGTTGAGGCTAACTTAAGTTAGAGAATGGAAACGAAAAATTCAGCAATTTTTCCATTTGTAAACAAGCATAACTATAGAACAGTTAAAGTGACACCACCAAAATTCAAACTTGATCTGTATTTTGTGGTAATAAGCATTGTGTATAAGTTTCATAACATTTGGTTGAGGCAAACTAAAGTTAGAGAACAGAAACGAAAAATTCAGCAATTTTTCCATTTGTAAAGGGGCATAACTCTAGAACGGTTAAAGTGACCCCACCAAAATTCAAACTTGATCTGTGTTTTGTGGTAATTAGCATTCTGTATAAGTTTCATAACATTTGGTTGAGGCAAACTAAAGTTAGAGATAGAAACCAACTATTGGGACATACGTACGTACGGACAGACGGACAGATGGACGGACTTAAAGACGGACAAGGGTAAAAATTAATGCCTCCTCCACTACGGCAGGGGCATAAAAAGTAGCAGATTTTATTTGCATTCTTAATTCCAAACATTTTCAACTTGAACTTTATCTGTCTAAAGAATGGTTGGATGTAATAAATGATAGCAAAATGTATAAAACAATCTATCATAAATTATGTATATATACTTTTTGAAGCAGTCAAGTGTTAGTGGTTGGTTGGTTTGTTGTTCTAAGTCCAATGTTTTGGGTAATTGCTGTTATGCTTTTTATGTATTACTAATATTTTATGCTTACATTTTCATTAAATCAAACATCAAACTTCCTGTGCTTGGAAATCAACATATGCTGTTGGTTATTGTTTTTCTTTGTATGGATGTCAGTTTTTCAGTGGTCATGTGTTGGTGTGGTCAGTTGTGCTGTCCAATAATTTTGGTAATTCATGTTATTCTCTTTAAGTAATATTTGATAAAAAAAGAAGTAGTTTTATTCCAACTACTGTAAATTCAGAAATTATTGTAAGGTTTTCATTAATGCGAATAATGAGACTAGGTGAGTATCGCAATAATAAGAACTCGCATTTTGATAACTAAAACATAGATCTGTATGTAGATTGTTCTTAAATCGCAATAATTAAATTAAACTCGCATTCTTGTCCATTTTTAAAAAATTGCAATAATAAATGCACGCAATAATTTCTGAATTTACAGTACTTGAAATACAATAGTATCTAGCTGCCTAACAATATCATAAATAACTAAACCTCTGCCATCCAATTTGCATGGTGTAAACACATAACAGAGATTAACTCAGGCGTTTCTTCCCAAATTAACTCCCTTTAATGAGCATTTCAAAAAATTCTTAACAGATTTAAAAAAGTAAAAATAATATATTAAGATAATGCTGTATCTAATATATCAACTAAAGGTTTTGCATTTTACTAAAAGGAAGGGATGGGTGTAAAAAAAAAAAAAAAATAGTCCAAAATCTTAAGGGTAAGTTAAGTTTTAGCAAACCTCTAGTTGTTGCCTAAACTAAAGTATTGCTAATCTATCCTATAAAATCAACTTTTGCTTTACATTCCTTTTAAAAACTAATCCATATAAGAATACCATCAACCTTACACTTGTTCAGTTTAAGGTAAATAAGGATTCTAATTAATTGTTGTTTAGAAATAGCTGCAAAGTTAATTGTTGAACTAGATTAAATTTTACAAAAAAAATGGTTTGGGTTCTGTCAGTGTTTAAAGTGTAATGTAGACTGTAAAAAGTGAGTACATTTATCAAGTAAATACAGAATTTTTAAGAATCTTTTTGCAATTTATTGATCTCAAAGATTAATTGATTCTGTCCAAACTTCATTACAATTCAAGAAGGTTCACAAATTTATAGTCTCAAAAAAACTGTATCCCAGACTGTCTGTAAATGTTAACTGCAAAAAAATAAGTCCGTGTATCTATCAGTAAAATATTGATAAATGAAAAAAAAAAATAATTAAAAAATTTAATTTTTTGCTTTAGACACCATGTCAGGGCCTTTTATAGCTGACTATACGGTATGGGGTTTTCTCATTGTTGAAGGCTGTATAATGGTTGCCTATAATTGCTTATTTGGTGGATAGTTGTCTTATTGGCAATCATACCACATCTCTTTATTTCTATACTATCTCTTAATCATAAAATGTTTTTTCAGCCAAAGTAATTGATGTGTAACAAACTTTAACCCCAGACTGTATCTACTTGTTAACTGCAAAAAATTAAGTTGTTTTATCAATAAAATATAGAAAAATGAAAATAAATATTTTCAAAATTTGGCTCATAAACAAGCTTCTGTCCAAATTTAATAAAATTCCATGAAGGTTTGACTACAGACTGAACCTTAATGTTGACAACACTGAAGATGTCGCAGAAATGTAGAATTGCTAGGTCTCACTTTTACAACAAAAATAGCAACTTTGTTGAAGAACTGTAATGTGATTTAACTTATCAGGTGACGTCTTTTTTTTTTAATTATAAAAACAGAAAATGGTTTCCATTCAAAACTTTTAAACTATGTTATATCAGGGGAGATAACTTAAAAAAATATTTCTACAAAGAAATGTACAGCAAATATACCTAATATAGCAATAAAACTAATAACATATTTCAATTGAATTTTTTGATAAATACTGAGAGGATTCATTTAGGAAGAGGATTATATTAGTTTGAACACATTAGAGAATAAAGAAACTAAATGTTTTCAATACAAGAATAAACACCTCAGGATAGTTGAGCTGCATTTGATGACTATTGGTAACTTAGTATTTCAATGTCTGTAAAAATGCTGACAATATTAATTTATTGCTTTTCAGCAATTTTTAATATTATCCAACAAGATGCAAAGATACCCTTCATACTGTAATAAAAAAAAAGTTCTGATAGAGCTGACAGAATAGGTGATGAAAGATCAAATGTAAAGCAAATTTACTGACCACATGAACAGACATCCTGGAACATTCCAGGTGAAATTGACATTTTTCCGTTAAGCTAAGCCAAAATATTAACATCAAAGTCTTAAAACAATATTAATCTTGTAAAATTTGAAAGAAATGTATTGAAAATTTCTCGGTTCTTAATTGAATTAGTTTAATGCACTGCAGATAAAACATATAAAAGTCTATTTTAAATTTTTGGTTTGAATGATTTATGGTTTGCTGAAGTCAACATCTTTGATACAACTGAATTAAGGTTGTTAAGTTTTATAGCAATGGCATGCCAATTAATTAATATAAAAATGTGATTGTAATTATCCATTACAATCAATCAGTTTAGAGTTTGTGAGAGGAAATAATTGATCTTGTTTCTGAATAAATTCTTTTGATGAAAAATCATATTGCATTGTAAAAGTAGACAACATTTTTAAAATAAACCATTTAAGATCAATAAAAATAGATTGGTTGACTGTAGTTTGTGTAAAATGCAGTGGCAAATGTGTAATGCATCTTCAAGATGAGAAACCTTCCAAGTAAAAACAGCCTGTCCTTGAGGAAATATTCCGGCAGTGTTAAAAAGTATCTAAGAAAATAGGCTAGAACCAAGGCAAGTACAGGGACAGTACCTGTGTTGCCTAAATTATTTGATTGAGATACAGGTTTTAATCTCTTTTGGTCCTTAGATCAAACTATATATCAAAATTGTCATTATTGAGAATATCCTGACTTGAAGTTCCTGAGGAAAATATAATGAAAATGGTTCATGTACATTTTTCATTTCATTTTTAAATCATGAAAAAGAAGATGAAAATTACACATTTAACCCCTTTTTTCTAGTTGAACCCCACTAAATCCTCCCTTTTAATTTTTTTCTTCTATGTGGATGTAAGAAAAAGGTTAAGTATATGGAAATGAGTTCCAGGGAAAGTTTATCTTGACTAATTAACATATACAAAGATAAATTAATTAGTTGTTGTTCAGCAAACTGTGCCAAAATATAAAAACTCCTTAAAGCATTGTGTTGATCTGTATTTTAGCACATGGTTTTCCTTCTAAACATATCACTGTAATTAGATTAAATCTGGGAATAAATTAAGTGCTGGTGAAAGAAGAAAATTTGCAAGGACAATAATTCTCTACTGTAAAATTTGGTGCTTCAATTGAAAAACCACGGCACTGGTAGTTTAAAGATATGTCTGAGAGTTTAAGACTAGGTTTGATGTTGGATCTGATATAATACAATAACATGCAATGGCACCTGAGTTACATGCATCATTCACCACTTTATATCCTGCTTACCTGATTTAGTCCCTTTTTTCTTTTATCTTGAACTCAGCCAGGCAAATTATTATTTATCAGTTACATAAAATAACACAACTTTCAAATCCTTGATAATTAAATTCATTTTCAAGTCAATAATCTTTACAATAATACTTTGTCAAACTTATTTACAACCTTTTCCGCACTTTTCAAGAAAAAATGATACTTTAATAGAAGTTGGATATTAAGTAAAACTGAATGTGCATTCAAGTATCCATATCTAGCAATAATTGCTGTTGAAAAAAATCAGATAAAAACGTAGAATGGAAGTTGAAATGAGTATAATATTATAGCTTTGGAAGGTAAACATCAATACCATAAGCCAGTATCAAAGGCCATTTACAATACTGAAGGAAGCCATAGATATCGTTAGGAAATCGCCCTGTCGTTCTAATGACTGCTCAGCCAATAAGACAGATCTATAGAAAACATTTGGAGGAAAATACCACTTTTCTTGTGTGTGTACATAATCAAAGGGTTTCAGACTAGGAACGCAATAGTATCAGACAGGTGAAAGAAACAACTGTACAATCTGTATTATAATATTAGTATATAATAATTATCTACACTTATTGGAATTTAACACTTGGTCTAAATTACTACAACTTTAAAGGTAAGAAATAAAGAATAATTAAAATTAACAATTCAAATTGTTGAGACTTAAACATTCTATTTGATTTAAATTGTTGTAAGACTTCAAAACATTCTATTTAATTAAATTTGAATTTTCATAGTCGAAACTTTACAACATTCTATTTCATTAACTTGTTTGCTTACCAAATTTTTTTTTACATTTGTATATCAGAAAGACTGAGAAACTTTGACTATTATGATTTTGTTCATAATCATTTTTCTAGACAAAAACAAATAGTATTCTGTGTTCAGAAGAAAAGAAAAAATAAATAACCTCACTCTCCCACTTTCCTTAAAGAAAAGATGCATTTTTTTTTTAACTTAAATTTCAAACTGTTACTTTCAATACAGTGTATAAACATTTATAACCAAGGATTTGTATAGTTTACTATACAAATCCCTGATATTACCAAATCATTTTTTAAAAGCTTAAAATTCAGATGCAGCTTTTGTTTTGTTAATTATTTCTGTAGTGTCACTCTTAAGACTACAATTAAAAACAAATGATAATTTCCTGTTGCTAATGTGTTGTTTATTGCAAAACGATCTTCTTAATATAGTTTCTGCTGTTTTATAGGAACTATGTCCATTTAAAAAAAACTTTTTAATAATATTACTGTAATAAAACTAAATCTATTAAAGCTGAGATCTCTAACATGAATATATATAGGCATGCATAAAACAAAGTTGTTTTTGTTTGTTTGTTGGATATATTGCTAACAGACAGTTCAATTTTTACATATTTTTCTATAACTTTAGAACATATAGTATCTGTTAATTCAGATTTCCATAAAATGACGACAAAACTTGCAGTCAATGTATATCTCAGTATAAGCCGTAAATTAATAGGACATCTATAATTTGCTAATCCTATAAGTCTGCAAAATATTACAGCCTTTGGTAATAATGTTAATATCAAATAATCTATTTTTGTCATAGCTGCCTAGGACGTATATGACATAGTTAATAGATTTTCACTTTTATTATGTGATATTGAGAAAAAGCTGTCACGCAATTTAATGTGTAAGTTACTATATACAATAACTGTTTTGCTCATTGTTGAAGACAGTACGGTGACCTATTAGTGCTTACATTCATGTCATTTGGTCTCTGGTTGATAGATGTCTCATTGGCAATCATAAAACATCTCCTTATTTTTATTAAGCAGAAATCACAACTAAAGACTGAACAGGATTTTAATCAAAGTGCAACATACAAAGTTTAACTGATCTTCAAGAGATATTTATATATATTTCTGGTTTAATACATACTTGACAAAAGAAATTCATTAAATTTTCCCAACAATTGTTTCTAAAACTAGATCTACTAAGTATATCCGCATCATAATAAATGTGATGAAATTGTCAACGGGAAAATACTTCTTGCAGCAACAGGTTGCATACATATATTTGTAATTGTATTAAGATTTTATGCATATATTTAACTTAGTTAAGTAAAAAATAAAAATTAATTACAAATTAAGTACAATGTACATCTAAGCCACATTGGTTCAATATTAGATTCTAATATGATGCTCTTCTTTTGCCTTTTAAAAAATATAACATGGTCTCATCCAACAAAACATTGGATATACATGCTTGACATTGCAATGGAATTTATATTTTAAACAACGCCAGTGATCAAAATGGATATTTCTACAGGAGTTGCTCACCATATATTCAATAAAATATTTTAAAAAGTAAGTCTATATGTAAATTTATTCTTTAAATCTTGAAACAGTTGGTAATTTTTTGCTTCATCAAACCAAAATTGTGCTTTTCAAATGTATAAATATATGTTCCCCAAAAAAAAAGGTATTAATTTCCCTATTAGAATTGAAGTAGTTCTTTCATCTCATGCTCTATGCCATGATTTTGTCATGGGTATGTATTTATCAATATGTCTATGTCTTTCTAACACTGTTTTAAAGATATTGACAAATAAAAAATCCTACCCATGTTAACATGAGCATAGAGCATGATATGAAAGAATAATTTCTTAATAAGCTCATGTCATTTTCATGAACAGTAGCATTGCTAATAATTTAAAAGAGATCCTTTTGTAATATTCATTTCATTAAACTATGTCTGAAGATCTACCCTTGTTGAACATATTCATACCAACTACAGAGGAATAAAAAAACAACTGATCAAATGTATTCTATTGAACATAATTTGCAAAAGTTAATTTTCAACTTTCTATTACAATTGAATATGTTAATATTTTCACCATTCCCTTTTATAATCCAATGCTTCAACTTTAACAATATATTAGTCTTACCCAAGAAATGTATATATATATATATATATATTAAAACCTTCGATCTGACTTAAGAAATCAATGCATATTGAGTAATTAATTTTTGCTCATATTTCAAAGAAGAATTTCTCACTTTTCAGTCCCTTGTGTGGAACAGATGTCAAATAAACATTCCCATTGGCAAAACTTCTCAACAATTATATGTATCAAAAAGTACTAATTATAGAAAAATTGTTAATTATATTCTGTAATTGCATGGCCCAGTGTACACTAAATATAGATTACAATCTCGAGGGGGGCTTTTTCATTAACAAGGACCCAGTCAAACATATGAATCAATATCAGAGAAAATTATTAACTTTTAATATATTTGTGTGCACAAACAAACCCAAATCAACAAGACATGTTACAAAAAGATCATTACATTGATGAATTAATTCTCTTCCTGACATTGGAGTGCTAATTGTTGATGTTTTGACATTTTTCTGAAGCAAATCAGTATAAAAATTAAACTTTTCCAATCAAGATAAATTTCCAATAACTTTGATTTTTTTTTTAAATGGTTAACTTATTTTTAAAGAATAAATAAATACCTTTCAAAGCTTTTAAAAACAAGCAAACAAGATGTTTGTGGAAACAACAGCAAGTTATAACAGCTATAAAAAACATAGAATCATACACAAATATTTACTTTACATCTTCTCTTGGTAATCTTTTATTTACATTTAATTATGAAAATTTGACCTTTTGATAGATGAATGTCTTTTATGAATGCTGTTTAGTTATACAGCTGTCTGTAAAAGAACTACCAATGACCATGAAAGATACTGGAATAGTAAATGTGACTGTACAGCCTATTAAAAAAAGACAAAGCTCAACCAAAGAACCTTGTTCAGGACTAATTGAGATATCATATTTTAAAAATTTTCTTAGATATCCATAAAATTAAAAAAACTCCTTACTTACAAGTTCATTCCCTGACTTCATCATTTGTATAAATGGCAAGTCAATGCTTTTGAGGGTAAAATACTTGGATCTAAAAAATAGAACCAGAGATGAACAATAGCATACAAAAGTTTTATTGAAATAAAATCATGTGTTAGAGGGGAGTTTAGTATACAAAATGTCTATCCCAATTAAATAGATGGTAAAGTCCATGTTTTGCAATAGGAAATCCACAAAAAGCATTTCATCTTTGAATAAATAAAAGTCCCAACTAATAATTCCATGTCATGTCTTTTAAATGAACAAACAACAAGCCGCTCCTTATGTTATAATTTTAGTAGACAGGTTCAGATTTGTTGTCAAACAAGACATTTACTAAAATGTGCATAACAAATTGAGTTATATCATCTGAATGCTGTTTGAAAATAATTCAGGTACAATTTCTATGCAACTTGTGATCAATTTGACAGTGGTCACTCATGTGATTTCCCCATGGAACAAGTAGACAAAAACATAATTAATTCTGTTCAAAGGGTAAGCCATGCGAGTAGTACTGATTCATGTTGGTTTTTACACTAATATAGAAATTCTTTGCTACATGGTGAGAGTATAATAAACGCTAAAACCAGCCATTGTACATGCCTATAAACAACATAGATCGCTTTATTATGGTTAAAAAATCCTATTTTTTCTCCAAACCATATCCCTATGGATTAATCTTCTGCCATGTGAACACAAGAAATAATGATTTAGGAAGTGATTTTTTTTTTTGAAAAATGCAGGCAGAATATTTCTTTATTCATTTTGGTATGGACTTAACCTTTTATTTTGGTTTTGGTTAATCCTTGAAGGAAAGAGAGAGTCAAACATATGAACTCTTAAAACTAGATATCAGCACTTTTTTTTTTGCATAATGCAGGCAGAATATATCAACAGATGAAAAAATAATAACTAAAGTTAATCAAAATGTGCATTCAAAATTAGCAAAATAATATATTTCATTTTGATATACCACATTGGGTTTCTATGTAACAGACCTTAAAATGTACAAATTATTGCGAAAGAAATTATACTTTTCCACAGATTCACTTGAAGGTTACCTGTTGATTTAAACTTTTGTAAGTTCTTTTGTCCAATCTAATAAATACGTTTATTCCTTGAATGCCAACATCCTTTGATCTACCGACAATTTACCTTTAAAATAATGTTGGCGTTCGAGGAATAGGTGCAAGTACATATCAAAACAAAAGTGCATGCTTTTCAAAACAATCATACTAATTAAACAGATAGGTAAATTACAGGTACCTAAATCTAATTCATGTTTGTCAAATTGTTGAAAATCATTTTTTGCTGTTACTGCTTGAACAAATATAGATTCTCTTAAAATGAAACTTTGAAAAGTTTTGCATCACAAAGTCAACATGTGCATATTGTCAGGAATTCCAGTTTGCTCAAATTCTACAATAGCCCATACTTGCCAACCTCTGAAACCTTCAAAGAGGGAGATCTCCCTCTCAGCTATGACAGCTGAGGGGGAGATTTTGCGCGAACGACATTTTCAAGTGAAATATATGACGTGTTTATTTAATCATCTACGAAACACATATAAGAGTTAATAAATATACTTTGTTTCTTTTAATATGGTTATATCCTACAGAAGGTGTGTTGTTTGTTTCTTTCCTATTTCATCATCTTTAACATTTAAATTCCATCAGGACAACATTTCACCCCACATACCTCTGTTAAAAGAGAGCAACCATGTTGTCACAGATTGTG